AAAATCATCAAATCCAACTGTCCACCCATTCCCACTAAAACATTAAACTGCACACGTCCAACATGAGCCTGGCGTCAGCATCAGCACATTCAACACAGCTGACATAAATGGGATTAAAGCAGAATTCTCTGATGACTATATGCAGAATTCAAGCACTCTGTGATATCAGATAGAAAACGAGGTCCCAGTGTTTCTGAAGGGTATTTCTGAAGCAGGTACAACAGAACATGAGATATTTTGTGTATTTCTGGGTACAGAAGTCTTTATTACCTTCTCACAGAATGGTTGGAATTGGAAGGGACCCCCACAGGCCATCTGGTCCCACTCCTTGCAGTGCACAGGGACTCCCACAGCTCCACCAGGGGCTCAGAGCCCCTCCAGCCTGACCCTGGGCGTCTGCAGGGATGGGCACCACCACCACCACCCTGTGCAGCACCTCATCACCCTCATCGTAAACAACTTCTTCCTTAAATCCAATCTAGATCTCCTCTCTTAGTTAGAAACCATTTCCCCTTGTCCTATCACAACAGACCCTGCTCAAGAGCCTTGTATTTCAACCCACATGCCCTTCCAGCTCGTCAGTTCCATTCCCCCTCCCTCCCAGCCCACCAAACCTTCCAAAACCTAAGCTGCCCCTCACAAGGAGCTCCTCCTGCAATCTCACACACCATCTGCAGCCCATTGATGCTTCCTCCTCCCTCCTTCACTGCTAGGAAAACCCAAAAGGTAGAATCAGACACCACATTCTCTGGGAAGTCACCATTTTTCCTACCTGCATTTTGTCTTCACAACAGAGATTGGCACCAACTCTTCTTCCTCTGCCAAGTTTGACCTGTGCTGCTGCTGCTCCACCTGAATGCCAAAGCTGCCAGCACTGCCCATCTTGCTGCTTGATCCTACCACTCAGCAGGGCAGATTAGATAATACACATTGTACTACTTCTTTTTTTATAGAGCACTAAATTGCATTAAAGAAAAAAGGAAGAACTCTGCCTTGTGCTCAAGCTGCCGTTTTTGAGGAGCATTAAATGGGGGCATGTGTTTAAAACGAGGAGGAGGGGCACAGCCTCACCTGGGGCCCCAACGAGCACCAGCTGTGGCAGCACCAAGCTCAAGCCCTGTTGAAAGCCTCCTGGCTTTTAATGAGGTTTTCCAATCTCCAACTCAGGTTGTGCCACTCCTCACAGCTACCTGCTGTCCTCAAGACCAGATTGTCAGAGGTTGCAGGGGGGAAATTCTATTTGCAGTTCTGCAATAATACCCTCTGTGAACCGACCCCTGCTGCTCACTCCCCATAGCAGTGCTTCTGGATGTGCCAAGGGGAGGGCAGATGTTCCCCAATTATGGTGTAGCTGTTGCCATTTTCTGCTGCTCTCTGCCCCCAAAGCCAACTTTTTCCTCCCCTTCAGCTGCTGACACGCTGCCAAGTGACACAGTGCTGCTGTCATCTCCAAAGACCTTTTTGAAGCTTAAAGGCAGCAGCTTTGAAACCCTTTTCCTTGATGTTTGGGTTAGCAAACAGCACAGCACTGACACACAGGCTCTGCATTGCCTTCTGCAAACATGGAGCAGCCCTGCAGAGGTGCTGCTACAGAAGCACACGGGCTGGCTTAGCAAGGTGACTGGACACACTTTAAATCCAACTTTGGTTCAGAGGCTTTCCATTATTTTCTAAAATCACCGTGGCATCTCATAGCTGCAGGTTTGTATCTGGCTTTGAGACAATTCTCATCATCTTCACAGCAGGTTCCCTGCATATTTCCCATTCCAAGGAGCACTCAGCATAAAGATTTTATTTATTTGCTGCTACAGCTGAAAGTAGCACACATACTTGATTTAACACACTTAAGCAAAAGTGTGTTAGCAACACCTTACCAAGCTCTTCCCTTTCACTCTATGATCCCCAAATTCTTCCTCTGTAGCATGGAGATGACACAGCTTCATGGGAATGCTGGCAGACCATCTCAAGGTTATCTGAAGGAGGCAGAAGAGACGTAAAACATTTCATCTGCTGTTGTTGTGGGCTAGAGTTGAATAAGAGTTCACCTGAGCAAACCTGAGCTCATCATCCTCCAAAGGGACCTGGAAAAGCAGAAGTGAGAAGGTCACTCAAACACCCAGAAAACAAGGTGATAAAAAACCAAAGGGAGCTCATAAAAAAAGTCAGAGGCTCATATTGAGAATAGCTGTGCAATTAATTTACAACAAGCCCTAACAAGTGAAAACTCTATTATGAAAAATCTAACTAATTGCAAAACTGAACAAGTGTCTGACAAAGAAACCCTCTGAATTATTGGAGATGACAGCATTTGAAGTTGATTAAAACTGCGGGGATTTTGAATGCCATCTCCTCACCATTAATTATTTACTGCTTTGTAATTTGCTCAGGTTTCTCAGTGCAGGTGTTAGGCTGAAAGGTGTTTATTGGTTTCAGCTGAGCTGGAGCTCAACATTCACCATCATGGAGACGCACCTGGGCTTCACTGCATGGACTCCTGTCTGCAGTGTTCTCCTCAGCCTTCCTGAATTAGAGCACAGGAGCTTACTCTTTTCTTACCATATTATTTTTGCATGCTCTACATCCAATTCCACCTGTTAGCTCCTTAGAAGTCAATCAGGTGCTACGAACATGCATGGAATGGTTTAAGTCCAACCCCCCTGCAGTGAACAGGGGTGCCCTCAGCTCCGTCAGGCGCCCAGAGCCCTGTCTGGCCTGACCTTGAGCTGAGCTCTGGATAAGGGTGAAGATGGCCAAGGATCTCATTGGCATTTGGAGTCTTTTCCCTCCCAAGTAGCTCAGAGTCTCTGGCAGCTGAGGAATTGTAGCAAAGCATTTGTTAATGCAGCAGTTGGAAGTAAACAAACCCCTCAGTTTTCCTTGCATGACGCTAATATCATTTTAGTCATCCCTGCTAGAAAACAGCAATTCCTCTCGCAGTGCCTTGCTCTCTCCTCCACTGATTTAAAAAGATGAGGGAGAGAAGAGTTTAAAAATTAACTGCTCTTCTATCTACCTTCAAGAGATAAAGAGTGAAACTTCACAGTCGAAAACCATCTTTATTCTGAAATATGCAGTAGATCACTTCCTCCCTTCTCATTAGGTGGATACAGGCAGCTGGAAGTGATTCAAGCAGAACAGCAGCTACCAAGCCATGAAAGAGCACATTATTTGGACTGGCTAATAGCTGAAATATATTAATTACAGTAATTCATGGTTTCACTAGTGCTTAATTTAATGCTTATGTACATAAAATTGCCTTACAATAACTAATCAAGAAATGATAGCCAGCACTGGCATGAAATGTGAAGCTTGCAGTTTATGACCATGCTGGAAAGGCAGCCATCTCCCTACACTCACTTCTCTCCTGAAGGCACCCACCACACCATGCTTGCTTTCTTATTCCACTTCTTCCTCATGCAACATTAGAAAGGACCTGGGGTGAAACCAACACGACGTTACTGAAACTCAGCCTCCTGTTGTTCTCTCTTCCCTGGGCAGAGATTACAGGTCAGCCCCTTCTCATCTTGTTCAGTGCCAACATTGAAGAGTGAGGATTTCTGTCTTCTTACCACAAAGCCATTATTCGCATCACAGAGGGCATTTTTGAGCTGGCATCCTTGGCACCACCTCAGTACAGCAGGAAAGACACGAACAACGCGAGGTCTCTTGGAGCAGCCCCTCCACATCAGGGCAGCAGTTACAGCACATCTTGGTGGATAGCAGCACCACGTGTCATCATTATGCTTTCTCACAAATGAATTAACAACACAACATCAGCATCTCCCTTATTGCTGTGAGCTGGCACTCAGCCATCTGTGGCTCATTGAACAACTGAGCCAAAAACTTGTTCCCATTTACAGAAAGCGTGGCCACGCTATAATTATCATAAATAGTGCACAGAACCTCATTTAGAACAAAACCAGACTCCACAAGCTCCTTCTGAAGCCTTTAAAAACATTTTTAACTACAATGTATATTATTAGCTGCTTATAGCAGCTAAAAATCATCATCTGTCAACCAGTCCTAATACAAAAGCTCTTAAAATTAGGTGAAAATAGTTACATGACAGAGCCATATTCATTCCGTTTATTTTTTTCAACTTTGATATCTGACCAGCTATTTCAAAGGCTGCAAATGAACTGTACAAAATGGCTTCTAGGTCATTCCTAACCTCTTGCTACTTCTGAACATTTTTGACTGACAGCTGCTGTGTCAGCCTTGCTTAAGGGCTGTTTTCCTGGCACACATCCTAAGAACTTCGTATAGGATGGAAGTTTTGTCCCTTTCAAAAGCAACATCAGTGTATGTTCCACCTGGAGCTGTACAGCTGATCTGAAAGCTTTAGATTCCCATTCCCACTGCATAAGCATACGGTCACATGCAATTAGTTTATTAATGTCATTACCTCCTTTCTACATACGCTCTGAAGTACATTAAAATCTTTCACTTGGTGACACCAAGTGGGCAAAATGGTCAGCAACATCTGCCTTCTTTACTCTTTACCACCTACAACAAAGACAGCTGTCAAGCCACAGAGGATCTATCTTTCTTTCTTCCCATCTGGAAATCAGTTCCTATTTGAACCACTATTTAGAGAAAATATGTACAATTAGCTAGAACAAATGCTGCTGCTGCAGAAACAGTGTCCCCATCAGACCTTGAGGCCAAGTTTCAAGACTGAACAAGCTACAGAAACAGTTGCATTTGCCCTAATTTGAACACTTGCTTTTCTTGCTGTTGGGGTATTAGGGCCTAATCTCTACAGTAAGCACAGCAGCAGTCTTAGCAGCAGGTGTTTAAACTGCTTAAACTACCAAACACCAGATAGAATGCTTACAACTGAGGCCTGTTCACACAATCTGCAGAAACTTCACTGTCTCATGTATACACCCACTGCATCATATTACAGCAAATCATAGAAGCATGCATGTGTATCAAAGATGTGTTGGGCAATAAAGTCTCATTTCTTTATGCAATGAGTGACAAAAGCAGACTGAAGGTTTGGTTTTTGTTTTACAACTTTAATGTGTATCAAAACAGTACGAACATTGTTTTATCTTAAAAGTTCATGCACAGAAAAACAGGTGGTGTTTTCAAAGATCAGCTGCCAAGCTCACTCATGTTCCATTGGGTTCCTTTTTCCTCAAACAAACGTGCTTTCAGCATCAACACCTGCAATACAACGGCAGGAATAAGTTGACCATCCAACATTCGCTGCTTATCTTTTTGTTAATTTAAGTGATATCATCAGAAAAACCTTTGCTCACCACCAGTCAATCTGCCGGTAATTCCAGCAATTTTTGGTTAATTTCATCATATGATATCCTCAGATACATTGCTGTGTTTCTAAAACAAGCACCTTTGTTCTATACTGCTGTATATAGTGCAGAAGACAGCAGCTCCTGTATGTTTACCCTCAGTATTTCAGCCCAACAAAGTGCTGTTTTGTCCTACAACTTCATCAATCACTGTTTTAGAGCTAAAAACACACAGGAAAAAAAAAAAAAAAGGCCAATGAAAATGCTCTCAACCACACAATGTTTGTGAGACTGCAGCCCAAAAGCACCACAGTGAATTAAGAGCACACAGAATGTTACAACTCACCCACAACAAACTCTTCAAACTCTTGCTCTTGCAGTCTCACTTCTGTCCCAGGGCCATGTGAAGGGCTGTAACATAAACAGACATTAATCATTATGATTCTATGATTAACAGCTATGAGTATGTGGCAAGTGGTAATTATATCTAAGGATCCCAGAAAATTGGCTAAGTAAGAGAGGAAGGAAAAGGAAGGAAAGTAGATTGATTCAAGCCATGAAGGATAACCATACAAAATATGCTTCCTGTGTGGTTTTTTTTGTTGTTTTTTGCTTTTTTTTTTTAATACGATCAATAAGATCCATTTATTCTCAACAGATTCTGCCTGTTAGGAATCTCTACATGGCCCAATGAAATTCACCACCTACCTTCACATTACGGCCATCTCCAGAGATGCCTGCTCCCAATCCTTATTGTATCACATCACCTGGAAATCCCAGGTTCTGCAAAGCAAATAAACATTGACCCATTAGTCCTAGCAGACAAGGTGTAGACGACTTCAAGTTCACACACGTGCAGCTGTATTTCAGACAAATAAGAAGGTTATCGTCAGTTCTCGCATCTGACGGCACTTCCTATTCTGGGGTATCATCATCAACAGCCAGCAACTCTGATAGGTCAATACACAGAGGAACAGGTTCACGCTGAATTGACTGTACCCTGTCCCCTTTGCTAATATAAAGCATTAACTCTGTTATCAGGACACGACGTTTATTTTTCATAGCTTTATATGCTTAATTAAAACTGCTACAGGTTATTTTCAATTAGCAGCTCTGCACTTAGCTACTTTATATCACTGGTATACAAGGAAAGATCTAGAATGTTCTTAACACGTTACTCTTTGCTTCGAGGCATCGTTTCGCTGGGGAAACAGACACCAAACAAGCATTAAAGCACTACTCCTCAGCAGTAAGTCTAGCAAACCGCAGAAGTACATTTGCTACAATAAGACTCTCAAGGATCAAAGGGGGAAAAGGGGGGGGAGGGGGAGGAAGGGGAAGTGAGGAGGAGGTATAAAAGTAAAAACCCACAGTAGGCCTCAGAAGGCTCAGCACTAAGAATCTGCCCCAGCCCAAGTCCTCCCAGCCTCGCTCACCTCAGTTCGGACCGCGGCGCAGCTGCCAGAGCACTCCGAGCGGGGCCCTGGGCCCCCATCCGCCTCCATGAGGGCCTGCGGGGACGGGATGAGCGAGACCCAGTTGCCTTTACATCCCTCAACTGCCGCCTGTAGCCCCTGGGGGGCGAGGAGGAACGGCGTGCATCACCGCTGCCCGAGGGTGGGAGCCCTCACCTCAGCCCTGCCGAGCGCCTTCCACACAAGACCCCACCGCCACCGGGCGCACGAGGAGAAAGGGCGAGAAGAACCGCTGCCGCCGCTTATAAAGGCTCGGGATGTGCCATCCTACCGCGGGGGGGGGGGGGGGGGGGCCGGCCCCCCCCCCGTTCTCGCGAGGTACAGCCCGCCTCACTGCTCTCGCGAGAGGTGGGTGGGCTGTACCACTGCTCAGGCGAGGCGGGGGGAGCAAGGCGTCCATTTCCTGCAGCGAGGGAGGAAGGGGTGGCAGGGTTCAAATGGGGGCTACAGCTAATTGCTGGGGGATGGAGGCTGTCCGGCTCCAGAATCGCAAAGAGAAAGAAGGGGACTTGCAGGAAACTCTTCTATCAGTCTCCTGGATTTATGTTAGTTATGATAAAGTGCCCACTGAGGATTTAAAACACAGAAATCCACGTCTGGGTAATTAAGGAAGAACAAAAGTAGCATTCCTAATAGCAGTAGGTACCTTCAGGGGCTTCGTACAAAATCAGGAAAGAAAACCAGGCAAACACTCTTACTGCAAAAAGAAAAAGGATGATTGAAAAGGAGGAGAAAAGGGAGAAAAGGAGGGAAAAAAAGGGAAAATAAAGGAAAAAAAGAAAAAGGGGAGGGGGATGAAAAAAAAAAAAAGGAAAAAAAGGAAAAAGGGGGGAAAAAAGGTTCTCAGTAGGTCCCTAAAACAGCAGACTTCTATTTCCTGGCAGCTGGGATCCTGTGCTGTCATTAACACACAATCCTCCCTTCCAAACAGAGGTGCATTTCTGATTACATGGAAGACAGACGCAGTGCTAATGGCTCTTCCTCCTTAAATGCCAGCCACTGCCCACACTTTTCTCATTCATACACCCATCAGATCAGCTCTCAGCTGAAGAGATTTTCTCTTCCCATTCCATCTTTCACACCAGCAGCCCACCCTTCACCAGGCTCAAGTGATGAATATTTACCTGGAAGCACAGTGGTTTATCAGGAAGGTGAAGAGCAGCCCTCAGCCAGGCACTGACCTCAATTCACAGCAACACAGAAAGCAATGCTCACAGACACGACGTGTGGTTGTTACCTACCTCCTCTTTTCAGAAAAAGGCAAAGTCAGAGTGGATTCAAAGCAGTAACACAACGTGAAGGTTTACTGGCAAAAAGAGACTGGTTAAATGAATTTCATCAGGGTCTTGAGGAATGGGTAAGGTGTGATTCTACTTTAAAGCTTTGGAAGGGATATTAATGAAAGCACACACTGAAATGAATTCTTGCAGTGATCAGACATTGCAGTTGTTTACTCTCAACAGCACTTTTTTATGAGTCATATTTATATATTCAATAATTAAATATAAACTGCAGGGTGTCACAAAACAAGGAAACAAGACGTGAAGCCCAGACATTCGCAGGCTTACATTTCTCATCACTGTACCTTTCATTTCAACTCTCATTTTACATGCTGCTTAAAGCAGTAAGAAAGTTAATTGCAGACTCCTTACTTCTGTGAAACTTCAAACCTACTCCAACTTAGTAGACAACCAACCAAACAAAAACCACAAATAAACAAAAACACAAAGAGAGGAAGAGGAAAAAAAAACGCTAAAAGGCAGACAGGAGAAGAGAGAGATACTGACAATTTGGACTGACAGAACCTGGGATGTAGGGACAGAATCACAAAATGGTTGAGAGGTCGGAAGGGACACCTGGAGGTCACCTGCCAACCCCCTGCACGGACAGGGCCATCCAGAGTTGTATCCAGGTAGCTTCTGACACCTTCAAGGATTTCAAAGCTCCACAAGCTCTGTGCAGCCAGTGCTCCATCATCCACAGTGTAAAGAAGTGCTTCCTGAAGTTCAGACAGAATCTTCTGTGTTCCAGTTTGTGCCTTCTGCCTCTTATCCTAACGCTGGGTGCCACTGAAGATAGATAGCACAGCTCTCTTCTTTGCATCTTCCCTTCAGGTATTTATATACACATTGATAAAATCCCTCCCCCCAACATCTTCTTCTCCAGGATGAACAGTCCTAAAGACAAAGCAAACATCCTCAGACTGTCAAAAACATAGCAGACAATGTTTTTTGCCACCTGTTCTGTTCAGCAGAACACGACGTGCTATCATTAATTCTCATTTAGAATTACTGGCAATCAAAATATATGCCACAGGCAACAAGAAGAAGAAAAAATTGCAGCTGCACTCTGATCAAACTTTTATGTAGAGAGGATACGCAGGTAAAAAAAAAAAGCTGAATGTAACAGGTCAACCATGTGCACATCCACATGTACTATACAAGAACACTCAAAAATATTGACATGGGACAGTGATCCTATAGTTTTCCTTTTCTCTTTCAGTTATATATATGTATAGTCAAACAGCACATAGGAAAACATCACTATAGCTTTTTTCACCATGGCCAACAGGAAATTTCCACAAATATAAAAATGTAAGTATTTAAACTGTTAGATTTCTTCAAAACATAATACAGCTGAATGAGAGAAATATAATTTCTCAATATGTAACTAGAAAAAAAAAAAAAAAGATAAGAAAAACCTTCAGGAATTTGCACAATTCTCTCAACCAACTTTGCAGTCTGAAACACTGCAATCCTTGCTACAGCAGAACACAGTATCACCAAAACAAATACATGAATTCCTGGAGAGCAGTGATGCCATATGGATACCTCATGAAACCTCACTATACTACAACGTTGGATTTACATTCATTATTCTGGAGGAAGGGAACGTGGCAGACCCTTCATGCTTTCTCCTTGCTGGCTGCTTACCCAGGAAGCATTATTGTTATTACTTTAAGGAAGGTGCTGGTAAGTGCCAGAAGGGCAAGGCAATGGTGCTGACTGTGAAATGCCCTGTTCTTTGGATGAACTGTGTAAAACATTTTGTTAAAAGATTCCATGTTAAAAATATTAAGAACAAAAAACGTCTTCTTAAAAATACAGAGTATTTTTCCCTCTTCTTTTAAATTCAGAGGTTAGGGAAAAGTGTTTGGCTAGAATTAACTACAGGTTTGCTGTAATTAACATATAAGACAACGCCCTACATAACACAGGGCCGACCACAGACTCCAGACAAACATGATTGCTTTAGGTTTCAAGTGGCATATGCATCTCTATTTTTGTATAAAAGGAACTGAGACATTTCTGGAACCTTCACTGCAGAGTCTTTGCCAGTGTTCAGCTTTTGGGCAAAGGAAATCTTGCCACACTGCAGAGTCACGATCTTGAGGATCAAAGTGTAAAATCATGATTCAGTATCTGATCCAGAACTGCTTTCTCGGCTGATTTCAATTTGTAGAGATGGTAAATTATCCAATCGACTCTTTTTTTGCCGAGACTCCTCTTTTTCCTTAATGAGAGCACCCCAAACCCGCTGGAGCTCTGAATCATCTTCCTCTGGAGATGCCACGGAGTTCTCAGGTTTATCTGAAGTCTTTTCTTGTGTCTTCGGAGCAGAACCTAACCGGGTCCATAAATTACCTAGTAAGATGAAAAACAAGCACATTGAAAACTAACAGGAATGTACTGCATTTCTTTAAACTTCCACTCCAGCACCAAACTGACCTGATTTCTTCTCTCTGGTATCAGAGTAGAGGCCTTTTACATCCTGCTTTGGGATTCCTAACCGGCTGTGTACGTCTGATATTGGTTCTCGACGAGGAGCAGAGATGCTGCTTGGAGGCTTAACTTCTGGGGAACGTGGTCTTTTTCCCAGTCTCTGCCGCACATCTAGGGATATTTTCAGTGATTAGAACAACAAAAATCACGTTGCTTTTACTTTAGTTCTGCCAGCTAATTTGACGCTCATTGCACACTTCATAGAATTCAGAACTAGACAAATGTTCTCATCTTTTCTATCCTCTTTTCACTAAGTCCTTCATATTCAGATTTCAGTCTCGACAAAGCTTGCAATAAAATGTTATCCAGATTCTGCTGTTCTCTGGCAATAAAATGTGGTATTTAATGTTTTCAGGTTATATTTTGTCCAGATGACCCAAAAATTAGCTGTTATTCCATGGCTTGTTGCATTCCTTTTAGCAGCCCAGCATATATGTGTCCAGCATGAGCTATGATTATAAGGTAATTGTGAAGCTTCCAATGATTTTTTTTTTTCAGATTATAGATACTTTGCCTTAGAGTTTCCAATACCTCTAAATATTTTACAGAATTAAATGGAAATAAGAATAAACAAATGCTAAATATACTGACAACCCATGATCAGTCAGATAATTCTCTGGATACTCTCTGTGTCAGAAGTAGCTGTAATTACACACACCTGTGCCAAGAAAAGCAAGTCAGTTAGCATAAACAAATAAAGACTGCCATTTGAAAAAATACTTCATATACACATATATACAGCTAGACACATATATATTTCCATATATGTATTATTTCACGTAGTTATGTCATGTAGTCATGTAGTTAGTGCCTCATGTTTCAGTTTGCACATGAGCTTCCCCCCAATACAGGTTCCCATGATCTCATACAGAATCTGCCTCAGTAAGTAAGCAAATTAAAAGGGACAAAGTGTGTGTGTGGGGGGGGGGGGGAAATAAATGCAGGCAAAGAAATTAGATAAAAATAAATGTCACTCTTTCACTTAAATGGAATAGTACTTTTCCCCCAAAGCAACCTCCAACTCTGCCTCTTAGTGAGGAGAAATTAACCATTTCAGTGCAGAAACTGCTGATGAATAGGATTTCCTCATGTTTCTAAGCTGCATTGGAGGACTGATGTAAAACGATGACATCAATTAATAAGAGAGTCATAATTCTGCACAGCATAAGAGTTTCACATTACCTGATTTTACAGTGCTGTTTGGCTGGCGCAGCCCGTTGTTATTCTGACGTTTTTCTTCTAACAGTAGTCTTACATCTACAACTTTGTCTGATAATCCTTTACTGCCAATCCTGTTTTTCACATTACTGGTTGCTATGCTATCTGCTCGCATGGAATTCCTAAATAAAACAATAATAAAGTCCCTTAAGCAAAATGAAATCTAGTGCAGTTCTCAGATCTTCTTGTATGTGGAATTATAGAAAACAATGTTATCAGGATTGCTCTACTGAGAAACAGAGGTAAAAAAAGC